AACCTGGAAGCAACTGCGTCCAGCTCTGGCTCCCTGTGCCCCAAACTGGAAGTCATTCACTTACTCATTGGATTAGTAATTATTGGGCACCAGCTGTATACCAGACACATGCTCCGGGCATGGGGATACAGCCGTGATCAAGACAGCTATGAGAGCCCTACCCTTATGGGGCTCCCAGCCCCGTGGGGGAGACGGGGGTACACTACACACGTTAACCAACATCGGAACTCAATAGCTTCTGACAATAATAATCATGACCATAAAAACACGAGGAATGATTAGAGCAGGGGACATCTGAGCTGAGGCCTGAAGGTCGAAGGGGAGACCTCGTGACAAGGTGAGGAAGGTGCTCCAAGGGGAAGGAACTGCAGAGGAAAAAGCGTGGCAACTGGGACCACGAGAGGAAGAGACAGAAGGTCAAGGTGGACGGGGAGGCTGGCACGTCGCAGAAAGGACACCTGGGACTCTCCCCTTCACTCAGACACGACACTCAGCCTCATTTCTTGTTTGTTCCCAAGGACAGGGTCTTGGTCTGTTGCCCAGGCTGAGTATAGCGGTACCATCATAACCCACTGCAGTCTCAACCTCCCTGGCTCAAGCAATCCTCCTGTCTCAGCCTCCCCAGTAAGCTGGGATCATAGGTGTATGTCACCATCCCCAGCCCATTTTTGTACTTTTTGTAGAGATGGGGTTTCGCTATGTTGGCCAGGCTGGTCTCAAACTCTTGACCTCAAGTGATCCTGCCACTCCGGCCTCCCAAACTGCTGGGATTACAGGCGTGAGCCACTGTGCCCAGCCAGTCTCTTTTTCTTGTCCATAAAATAAAGACACCAGCTCAGGGCCTGGCACACAAGCATTCACTTTAGGTTAAATGACCTTGCTGTGTGACCTTTGGCCAGCTACACACCCTCTCTGGGCGTCTCTGTTCCAAGATAAAAGACAGTGATCCCAGGCAGGCTTGGAGCCTCCATTTCTCCATCTGCCACAGCACAAGGGACGGGGGTGGGATGTCTGTCTCCAGTTCCATACAAGGAGCTCCCTATCGTCCCGGCTGCCCCAGTATTCTGGCTCCAGGGCCAGCGTCCCCGGGGGGATCGAGTAACCTGGTCCCGGCAACGGGGCCCCAGGGCCGTCCAGGTCTGGTTACGGGCTCTGCTTACAGCTGCCCCTCCAGCTGCTTCGGTCGCCCCCATCACAGCCCAGCCAGGCTCTGGGGCTGTCTAGGAACTTGGCAGGAAGGCTGCAGGGAGTCCCTAGGGCCTGGGCATGAGGGGTGGGGCAGAAGAGAGAGGCCCCCATACCCCCCATCCTACTGGATGTCGGTTAACTCATCCCTGCCCAGCCTGGGAGGTGGCTTGTGAGCCTCCCCTCCACTTTTATTTATTTTTTTCTAGCCTGTGTCACCCGGGCTAGAGTGCAGTGGCACAATCTAGGCTCACTGCAACCTCCGCCTTCCAGTTCCAAGTGATTCTCCTGCCTCAGCCTCCTGAGTAGCTGGAATTACAGGTGCATGCCACCACACCTGGCTAATTTTTGTATTTTTAGTAGAGATGAGGTTTCACCAAGTTGGCCAGGCTGGTCTCGAACTCCTGACCTCAGGTGATCTGCCTGCCTCGGCCTCCTAAAGTGCTGGGATGACAGGTGTGAGCCACCGCACCCGGCCTAAGCCACTGTGCCCGGCCTCCCCTCCACTCTTGACCTCCCTTACCGAGTTCTCAGTTCTCAGAGCCTCAGTTTCCCCATCAGCGAACCAAGCATGATAACCATCCACATCGGCTTCTCACGAGGGGTAATGAGCAATTGTGATACATGCTTAATTAACTGTTGTGATGCTGCACTGCCATGGGTTAGAACCCTCCCATCTCTGAGCTTGTTTCCTCCTCTGAAAGATAAGGATAAAAACATTGGCTCCACAGGGGCGGGGAGTGTGTCTCAGTTACTGCTGTGACCCCAGTGCCCAGCATGGGGCCTGGCACACAGTAGGTGCTCAACAAATCAGCTGAATGAATGTCCCAGGAAGAGCCCCCACTTATAAAATAGTTCCAACGAGGCCAGGCAAAGTGGCTCATGCCTGTGATCCCAGTGCTTTGGGAGGCTGAGGCAGGAGGCTCCCTTAAGGCCAGTTCGAGACTAGCCAGGGCAACACAGCCAGACCCCATCTCTAAAAAAAAATAGCAATAATTAGCTGAGTGTGGTGCGACATGCTATTTGGGAGGTTGAGGTGGGAGGATCACTAGAGCCCAGGAGGTCAAGGCTACAGTGAGCTGTGATGGCCTCACTGCACTCCAACCTGGATGACAGAGAGCCCTGACTCAAATAATAACAAGAATGATAATAATAATAATAATAGTTTAAAAATAAAATAGTTGGCCAGGTGCAGTGGCTCACGCCTGTAATCCTGACACTTTGGGAGGCTGAAGCTGGCAGGTCACCTGAAGTTAGGAGTTCGAGACCAGCCTGGTCAACATGGTGAAACCCCCGTCTCTACTAAAAATACAAAAATTAGGTGGGCATGGTGGTGGGCGCCTGTAATCCCAGCTACTTGGAAGGCTGAGGCAGGAGAATGGTGTGAACCCAGGAGGCGGAGGATACAGTAAGCTGAGATCGCACCACTGTACTCCATCCAACCTGGGCGACACAGCAAGACTCCATCTCTGGCCGGGCGCGGTGGCTCAAGCCTGTAATCCCAGCACTTTGGGAGGCCGAGGCGGGTGGATCACAAGGTCAGGAGATCGAGACCATCCTGGCTAACATGGTGAAACCCCGTCTCTACTAAAAAATACAAAAAACTAGCCGGGCGAGGTGGCGGGCGCCTGTAGTCCCAGCTACTCGGAGGCTGAGGCCGGAGAATGGCGTAAACCTGGGAGGCGGAGCTTGCAGTGAGCTGAGATCTGGCCACTGCACTCCAGCCTGGGTGACACAGCGAGACTCCGTCTCAAAAAAAAAAAAAAGACTCCATCTCAAATAAATTAATTAATTAATTAAAATAGTTGCAAGGATATGTTCATTCCAGACTTCTTAAACACCTACTGTGCACCAACATGGCTGGAGACTCAGCCACGCTCAGGGTTGTGTGTGTCCAGGGCTTGGCACAGAGCCCGGCATGCAGGAAGCACTCAATTAATGCTGAGTGCGTCTTTTGCAGAGGATGGGACTCTACCCTGAGCCGCCTTCCACATTCAACTCACAGCAGGCCAGGAGAGCGGGAATTCAAGAACAGATTTAGGAAGGCTGCACCTGCTATGCGCCATGCTTTTCCCACATATGAACTCATTTCCTGCCTGCATCAACCCTCAGAGACCAGCACGCTCATCCCTGTTTGCAGATGGAAAACCCGAAGCTCACAGAGGTTAAGCCATTTTGCTGAGGTCACATAGCACATAAGGGTGCCATGGATGCAAAGGTGATCTTGCTTCTTGCTGACTTTTTCTTTTTCTTTTTTTTTTTTTTTTTTTTTTTTTGAGATAGGGTCTCTGTCACCCAGGCTGGAGTGCAGTGGCGTGATCTTGACTCACTGCAACCTTGACCTCCCAGGCTCAACCAATCCTCCTGCCTCAACCTCCTGAGTAGCTGGGACTACAGGTGTGCACCACCACACCCGGCTAATTTTTTGTAGAGGGGGGTATGATACCAAGGCTGGTCTTGAACTCTTGGGCTCAAACAATTCTCCTGCCTCAGCCTCCCGAAGTGTTGGGATTAAAGGCGTGAGCCACTGTGTGAGGCCACCTCTTGCTGACATTTACCAAGTGCTCACAATGCGCGCCCTGCCCATGATGGTGGCACACCCTACATTTTTTTTTTCTTTTTTGAGACAGAGTCTCGCTCTGTCACCCAGGCTGGAGTGCAGTGGTACGATCTAGGTTCACTGCAACCTCCTCCTCCCGGTTCAAGCGATTCTCCTGCCACAGCCTCCCAAGTAGTTGGGATTACAGGCACGTGCCACCACGCCCGGCTAATTTTTGTATTTTTAGTAGAGACGGGGTTTCACCATGTTGGTCAGGCTGGTCTCGAACTCCTGACCTCTAGTGATCCACCTGCCTCGGCCTCCCAAAGTGTTGGGATTACAAGCGTGAGCCACCGCTTCTGGCCAGCTAAAGTACTTCACAGACAGGCAAGCAGAGACCCAGAGAGAGGCTGTCCCTGTCCCCAGGCCACTCGGGAAGTCAGGGTGTGGAAGCCCAGGCAGAACCTCCAGTGGGGACATGGATACATCTCTGGGGCTCCTGGGCCTCCTCCCCTCTGGGGAGGGGGCTCCTGGGTAATTAATTTTAATCACTGTTTTGAAATTGGGCCACCAGGAGGCAAGTCGGAAACAGCAACTTGTAATTAGGAATGGGTGGCAGGTTGGGGGGGGGGTTGCAACGACCATTCAGAGGAAATTAAAGTGTCATTTACACCCAGCGGGTAATTAAGGGGTCCAGGAGGGGCGGCTCGGGGAGGCTGGGGCTTCCAGGGAATCCAGGCTGGGGCTGGGGCATCGGGCACCCACAGATTCCCAAGCAGGTTTGGGGACGGACAGGTCCTCCCTTCAGACCCGATTTGGAGGAAGTACAGAGTGGTGGGTCCTGAGCTTGGGACGCAGTTGTGGGGTTCAGAGGAGAATAAGGCTCTGTTATAGGGACTCCACTTAGGGAGGAAGAAAGAAAGATGGCCCGGCCTTTGGGAGCTTGATCTAGGGGCAGATGAGGAGCCTTTCCCCTCCAACTTGGAGTTCTGGGCGCCCTTCCCCCCACTGCTGAACTCCTCCCCCAGAATTCCTCCAGTCACTGCCCCTCCCCAGAGGCCGGGGATCCCCAAGTGGTCGGGACCGGTGTGAGAGGCCTGGAGGGGGTCCCCGCTGAGACATGTGGTGGGGAATGGGGGTGGGGGGTCTCAGGGAGTGCCAAGTGCTGCTGGGAACGGAAGACCTGGTGAATGAACTTGAAGAAGACAAAGGCGGGAAATAGGTCCCAGGGGAAAGGCCCGGGGTCAGAGCGGACCATAAGTCCTGGTGAGTCAGGGCTCAGGAATGGTGGAGGGGCTGGCAGAGTGACGTGGACAATGGGGGATGGGGCTTGAGAACCGTCAAACTGTGGAGAACAGCGTTCGAGGGGAAGGGGCCCCCCGGTTTGCTGGGTCATCTCAGGGAACCTGTCACCCCCATCTGTGCCTCATTGCTCCCCAGAGCCTGAGGCACCGACCTTCAAAGAGGGACTACAGCGAACACTTACGGGGCGCCTACCCCATGCTCCCAGCCCTGTCCCTCAGCCCAGCAGGGGAGGTGAGAGGGGCTCTTCTGACGATTCCACAGGTGGGAAAACTCGGGGCCAGGGTGGGCAAGGGATGGGCCCAAGGTCGCACAGCCCGGAAATGGCCAAGCTGGGATTTGAACCCAGGCCCAGGAGTCCAGATGCTGCGCTCTTAACCACAGCACTGCCCCGCCCCAGAGAAAGGAGCTTTCAGCCTCTTCACATCCATCTCAGCAAGTTTTCCCTATCCATCCACCTTTTCCCCCTCTACTGCCCTTGCCTGGCCGGCCCCCATCAATTATTACCAGGACCTGGTCTTCAATTGCAGCCTTGCCCCCTGTCTGTCTTTCCCAAAGATGCCACCAGAGGGCACCAAGAGTCAGATCCCATCTGTCCTCTTCCCGCAGCACTCCATGGCTCCCACCTCCCTGGGGATCAAAACTCAAGTCCTCACTGCCGCCCACAAGGCCCTGCATGACCAGCCCCCTACTCTCCTTTCCCTTCCCTCCTCCCGTTCTCCCCCTCCGCACTCTGCTCCAGCCACATGGGCCTCCTTGGTGTTTCTCCAATACCCCAGGTGAGGTCCTGCCCCAGGGCCTTTGCACGGGCCATGCCCTCTCCCTGGAGTGCTGCTTCCCAAGATCTCTGCATGACCAGCTCCTTCTCATCTTCCAGGTCTCAGCTCAAATGTCACCTCCTCAGAGACACCCTCCCCGACAGCCTCAGTGAACACAGCCCCACCCTTCTCAGTGACTTTCAGGATAATTGTCTTCAGGGCACTGACTATACCTGATTTACCTTGTCGCTTTCTCTAGTTAGTGTCTGTGCTCCCCTGCCCCCCCCCCCCCCCCCCCCCCCCACCTAGCTGGGAATTTGAGAAGGACCGGACGCAGTAGTCTGCCTTGGTCATTGCTGGGTCCGTGGCACCTGGCACTTAATAGGTGCTCACTAAACATCAGCCCACTTGTTAAATGCAAGCAACGCTCCCACAGCTCCAAATAAGATCATGACCAGAAGCTCCAGTTTCTGCTTTGTGAGGTTGTTCCTTTTTCTGGAGTCAGAAACCCAACAGAACTATATATGGCATTTTGCCTGCATCCTCTTGTTTAAATGGTCAACCCTAAGGGAGGCAGAATAGCAACCCGTTTTATAGATAGGGAAACTGAGGCTCAGTGAGGGGGCATGAGTAAGGGAGAGAAGAAACTGATTCAACCTCAAGTCAGTCTGATCCAAACGCTACGGCTGCCTCTAAGGGAGATAATTCAGAATTGCTACTTCAACTTCCCCAGGAGCTCTGAGTCCATGGCCTTCAGGGGAGGGAGGTTCTTCTGCAATCATCAGAAAACATATGGCCACCCCCTAGTGAGCTCCTAAACATCCATCATGGCCCTAGCTACAATGCCCCTTTCTGGTACATCTTCCCTGATCCATGAGGCTGGGTACAGCTTTCCCTAGCCCCAGTTGCTCCCTCTGCCCTAGCCCTGAAAACGCATAGCACAGGGGGCCAATGCCTGCCCCTGTTTCTCTTCCTCTAGCCTGGAAGCCCCTCCAACTAGACAGCGGAGTTAAGGTTACCTCTTTGGGATCCTAGCATCACCCAGCACAGGGCACAGCACACGGGGGCCGCTGGCAGCATTTGTTGACTGACTGACCTAATTGCCTGGAACCAGGCCCACCTGAGAACCCACAATTCTCCTCTGGGCTCCCGTATTTGGGAAGTTCCCTCCTAGGTCCGCCCTTGGAAGGCTGGCTTAGCCAGGCCATAATGCATCATGGGAAATGTAGTCTAGAGTGGGCCTTACCTCCCAGTGGGGCCCTGGGGTGGCCACTTTTGGACCCTGGGGCCAGATGGAGAAGTGCCATTGAGGGTGGCAAGTAGTGGGGACCTATGTCCCTGCCAAAGAGCCCTAAGGGTGGTCCCCAGCCTCCCAAGTCTCTTACTTTTTCTTTTTCCTTTTTTTTTTTTTTTTTTTCCGAGACGGAGTCTCGCTCTGTCCCCCAGGCTGGAGTGTAGTGGCACGATCTCAGCTCCTTGCAACCTCCGCCTGCTGGGTTCAAGCGATTCTCCTGCCTCAGCCTCCCAAGTAGCTGGGATTATAGGCACCCGCCACCGCGCTCAGTTAATTTTTTTTTGTATTTTTAGTAGAGACGGGGTTTCACTATGTTGGCCAGGCTGGTCTTGAACTCCTGACCTCAGGTTATCTGCCCGCCTCGGCCTCCCAAAGTGCTGGGATTACAGGCATGAGCCACTGCTACTTTCTTACTTGTCCTAATGTCTGCACTTCATCTGGATGTCCCTGGAGGAGAGGTGATGAAGGACTGTGATAAGGAAAGAGGACTGTGTGCCTGGGTTCCTATGGCCACACGCCCGACCCCAGCACCACCGTTCATGATGGTGAGGGTGTGTAGGGTGAAGGGTCTGTTTTGGGATAATTCAGCCAGAGGACATGGGGCTGGTGGCTGGGGCCTGAGTCTTGGGCTGCTTTGAGCCTCAGTTTCCCTACTGCTGCTACATGAAGACAGGGACAGAAGAACCGTACCACCATGGCCAAGAGAAAGCCATAGCCCAACCAAATCACAGCTGGGTTTTGGAGGAACCACAGCCTGAGGCCCACAGCCCCTTAAACACCGGAGAATCTCAGAACCCTGGTATCTTAAACAGGACAGCAGTTCAGAAAACCCACAGGACCTGGAAATTGGAAAAAAAAAAAAAAAAAGAAAAGAAAAAATCTAGAAGGTCACTTGGGCCTGACCAATATCAGGATCATTCATCCAGGATTCTGGAAAGACGGCCGTCCAACCCTGCTGGCCTGCCTCCCATGAGGGGCAGCTCACCACTCCTTTCAGCAATGCATTTGATTTCCAAGGAGCCTGTCTCCTTGTAGCTACCCTTCCTCAAGATCTGAAATGTGACCCATGCCCCTCCCCCTGCTCTATAACCTTCCATGGCTCCCTATTGCCCTTGGGATAAAGTTCGCTCCTCGGCTTGGCATTCAAGGCTACTACCTACCTCATGGTCCTCTTAAATAGTCCAGCCACTCAGGGCTCCTCCAACATACCCTGCCTTGCTGTTCCCCCTGCCTGCTATGCCTGTCCCCCTCTCCTCCTGGCAGAATCCCTTTAAGCCCAGTCCCAGTACTCCCTCTTCCGGGCAGCCTTCCCTGCTCCCACCTGTCCTGACCACTGCCCTGGAAGTTTCTCCCTCCAGCATCTCCCTTTCCAGGCCCACAGGACAGGGCCACGCCCAGGGTCAGCTCGGGACACCTTCCTTCCTGGGAGACGGACGGTGACCAGCGATATCTTTCAGTCCCTGGGGATCCAGCTCACCTGTCCCGCAGGCTGACGTCATGGTCACCTTTCCAAGGGCAGTTTGATTTCTATCTTCCAGGCCCAGTCCCGGTAACCCCAGCAAACTTCTGCTGCCAGCTCGGTGTGGCCACCGCAGAGGACATGCCACATCTCCAGCCCCTTCTATGCCCATCAGACAGAGGTGAGGACTGAGGTCTCAGGGGGAAAGGACCCTCCTGGGGGGACTCGATACCTAGGCTTGGAGACAACTCCAAAGCCGAGGAGGCAACACGGGCCCTAAGATCCTGTGGGGGCTCAGCCACAGCGGAGTCTGCTGGGGGAACTAGAGGCAAAGTGGGGCAGGCACAGATCAAGATAGTCTCAAGTGACCTCTCTCTGCCTCACCTCCCCCGACTCCAGTCTAAAACCAAAGCACATCTCCTGGGGAGACTGAAGCCCAGAGAGGACTAGGGACCAGCCTGAGGCCACACAGCGAAACGCCTCCTCTCAAAGCTCCAGGTCTGAATCCTGCATAGCCCAGAGTCAAGGGGAAGAAGGGAGGAGTACAGCTTCAGGGCAACCCTTGGTGAGGAGCTGGGATGCAGCAGCGTTCTTGGGTTTCAGCGGCTTCCTCGGGCCTCAGTTTCCCCGCCTGCTGTTGGGAATGGGCCAGTTCAGAACAGACAAGAGGCTGACGCCAGGCTGCCTCCTACCCAATATCCGAGGCGTCTCTGTGTGGGTGGCAGCGACTCCCAGACAACTTCCCGTAGAGTTTAAGACCCCCTTCCAGGGGGGTTCCAACTCAGCCTCGGTCCCAGCCATCCCCCTCCACCCACCCGACAACCTGTACTCTCCCTAAGTAGAGTTTAAAGCAATGGGGCAGGCACAGCCTGAAGTCCCACCCCTGAAAGAAACTGGTCTCCTGGGCTGTGGGAAAGGGTCTGGGGGCAAGGCGGATGGCCCAGGTGTCCGGAATTTTTATTTTGGAGAGGGAGTTTGGACCTTCTGACAAGCTGAAGGAACACAGAAAAACAGACAGAAGTGCGATTTTGCAAATGGGGCAGAGGCCTCCTTCAGTCACCACAGCCATGAGTCCCTCTCTCCCTCCTCCCTCCTTCAACCCAAACCCAGAACCCCAAAGCCTCAGGGCACCCCAGTAACTCCAAGCACCTATTCCGCTCCAGTCTAGGGGTCAAAGATGACAGCCTCAGGTAGAGGATGTCAAAGACCTCAGCGAGAGAGGGAGGGCCACATGGGGGCGGGGGCGAGGGTCTGCGAATCCCTCCCCCAACCCCAGGACGCCTGCGAAGGCTCCTAGCTTCAGCATTAACCCGGCCGGGGCAGAGGTGGGGGTTCATGACAGTAGCGCCCCCTCTGGGAGGTGCCCCAAACTCGGAGGGCGCCCACAGGCGGAGAGCAGGACAGGAGGGGCACGTGACCCCCGCCCCGGGGACCAATCAGCGCCCGCGGGAGGGGGCCACACTCGGCGCCCCCCACCCATCCCGGCGCGCTTGGAGAGAGACGTTTTCTTTGTCCTTTTGTCAGCTCTTGGGGGGCCCCGAACCCCCAGGCCCCCACTGCGGCGGGGGCCATCCAAACCGGCCGGCCCTCCCCTCCAACACCACTGCGACCCCTGCCTCGCGGCCTGGAGCCGGGACTCGTCCTGTTCTGGGCTGGACAGGAGGCCGGAGAGGACTCGGGCGCCCAAGGTGCGGCGGCAGGACGCGAAGTGGGGCACGCGAAGTGGGGCGGAGGGGCCTCCCGGTGTCAGGACCCCCACACCAGCCCCGGGTCGCCTCGACTTGGCTCTCAGGACCCCGCCCCCCAACGCCACCCCCAACCCCCGACCAACAGGCCCCCTGCCTGCCCCGAACCCCCCACCTGGGCCCCAATCCAGCTCCCCAGCGGCGCAGCCGCGAGCCCCATTATTGTGTCTCCTCCGGGGCCCCCCAGGACAAAATCTCCACCCGCTGCGGTGCCGACAGAACCCCCAACCTAGCTGCACATACAGGCCCCCAGTCAACAATCCAAGCGCCCCCCCCACGTTGCAGTGCCATTAGACACCCCCATAATGGAGCCTCAGGGAGCGCCCCAGGCCAAAATCCAGCCCCTCCAAAGCGATGCCACCGGACCCCAACCGGACCCCTCCATACGGCCAGCGACCCCCTCTCCAATCCGGTCCCCTCCCCAGTTGCGTGGCTGAGAGATTCCTCCCCTCATTCTAGCGCTCCCCAAACCCCCTCCCCAGCCCCAAATCCGTCCCCTCCCAGTGGCAGGGCCCGCAGGCCCCCCAATCCTAGCGCCTGACCCGGCCACCCCAGCCAGCCTTTCGGCCCCCTAGCTGCGTGCGGACAGACGCCCCCATCCCCGCGCCTCCCCCAACCCCCTCCGCAGACGCCCCGGGGCGCTTACCTCGGAGCCGCGGCCGCCGCGAGTGCGCGGGCGGCAGGCGCGAGGGCGGGAGGGCGCGGGCTGGGGGGGTCCGTGCGCGCACCTGTCCCGGCCGGGGCGCTCAGCCCGGCATCCCCGGCTGGGGAGGGGGGCTGGGGGCGCGCGCTCTCCCCGCCCCCGGGCCCGCGGCGCTGCGCTGGGGGAGGGGGCTCAGCCCCGGCCCCCCGCGCGCTGGCGTCGGCTCCGGGGGGGGGCGCTGCGCGGCGGCCGGACCGGGGGCGCGCCGCGGCCGCATCTCCTCCGCCCGCCGCGGCCGCCGCTGCGACTCGCGGCTCTGCCACCTCCGCCCCCCCTTTCCAGCAACCCCCCCACCTCCCCAAAGCCAGGCTGGAGCCGCGCAAAACCCGGCCCGGAGCGACCGCGGCGCGGAGCGGAGGGCGGAGCCGGTGGGTGGCGTTTGGGTGGGTTGTTGGGGGAGACCCAAGGGGGTCACCATACTTTGGTCCAGGTGGTGGGCTTATTAATTGAGCCGCCCCAACTTCCTGTCCTGGTCCCCTCTGTTCAAACTCGCGTCCCCAGGATCCAGCCCCAATCACACCCAGCCCATGGGGTCAATGAGGCTGTCAGGAACCCTGCGGTCTGGGTGGCCCCCTTCATAGACGAGGCCATTTCTTCAATCCACAAGCATTCCATTTAGCAACACTCACTCGACACTTCAGGAAACTGAGGCACAGGGGAGTCTTGTCCAAGGTCACCCAGTTAGAGAGTGGCAGGGGGTTTTGAACCTGAGCAAACTGGCCGCAGAGATCTACATGGTTCACCTCTCCCGGACCTGCCCTTCTGTCACCAGTGCCCTGTGGGGTCTGGCCCAGAAAGGAGTTCTTCGAGGACTGCAGGTCCCCCCATGAATTTGAGACCCCAGGGCAGAGCCTGGAGGTTTCAGAGACCTTCCTGTAACCTTCCTGACCCTTCAAATGAATTCAGGACAGCAGGGGCCCCTCTCCCTGCCTCAGTGCCCCTGCCTGCCCGAAGTACCTCCCCATGTGGATGTGACCCTGTACATCTCCCCCACTGGACTGAGGGCTGTCCTCGTCGCTCTGACCTCTCTCGATGCAGTAGATGCTCTGTAAACACTTATTTTTTCTTGTCTTTTCTGTTTTATCTTTTTCTTTCTTTCTTTGAGATGGAATCTTGCTCTGTTACCCAGGCTAGAGTTCAGTGGTATGATCTTGACTCACTGCAGCCTCCGCCTCCCAGGTTCAAGCAATTCTCCTGCCTCAGCCTCCTAAGTAGCTGGGATTGCAGGTGCCTGCCACCATGCCTGACTAATTTTTGTATTTTTAGTAGAGATAGGGTTTCATCATGTTGGCCAGGCTGGTCTCAAACTCCTGGCCTCAGGTGATCCACCCACCTCGGCCTCCCAAAGTACTGGGATTATAGGCATGAGTCACCGCGCCCGTCCTCTTTTCTGTTTTTCCATAATTTAGATAGATAACAGAGAAGTGGGGGAGAGAGAGGATGGATGATTGTTTTTAAAAATTTTATTATTTCTAGAGACCGGGGTCTTGCTATATTGCCCAGGCTGGTCTTGAACTACTGACCTCAAGTGATCCTCCCACCTTGGCCTCCCAAAGTGCTGGGCCACTGAGCCCAGCCAACACTTTGTTATTATGTAGCTCGTGACTTTTCTTGCACACTTACTGAGTGCTGGGGCCACTATGCCCCATCCTTGGCTCCCCGCCATCCAAGGGATCCAGAAAGGTTGTGTACTGGCTTCCAGCAGCCACTCAGTGGGGACTGGGTGTCAGAACTTGAACCCCACCCCCCAGGCCACCCCAGGCCCAGGGCAATTTGCAGGCTCCCTGGCACCCATGGAGACAGCCCTGGTCTTCCAATTCCTCGGCATGTTCCCAGGGCCATTCTGGTGACCACAAACCTCCGGGAGCAGCCAGGCCTTCCTGCTCGTGGTTTTGCCCTTCCCGCCTTCCGGCCGCCCCAGCATCCCAGGCAAATCAGCCAAGGCACCTGCTGGTGTCTGGTCCCCACCCCGCTCGGTGTCCTGCCCACTGGGGGCTACTGAGGCTTGCTCCACGAGGGAGGGGCCCAGCCTCCCACCTACACTCCCTTCCCTGCGCTGTACCCAGCCTCTGTCATCCCCTCCCTCTCCTGACTTCTTGACTGTGGCAGCTGGCCAGTTCTGCACCCCAGTCATTCAACAAACATTTATTGAGAGCCTACTGTGTACCAGATCCCGGACTGAGCTGTCAACAAGACAAAACTGCCCCGTGCCTTCTGTCTAGCCTGGGGATATAGAAACCAGTGGGCACAGAACTGCAGGCGGAGATAGACTGGCTGGAGGTCCAGGAGGACCTCGAGGAGGTGACACAGAGGCCTTAGAGGGACCATAGATCCAAGCAGGGGGGTGGGGGTAGGGGGTGTGCAGGGAGGGCATTCTAGAGAGAGAGACCTCCGGGACAAAGGCCTTGAGGGAGGCCCCACCCCCACCGGTGGCTCAGCTGCCACCCAGGCTTCTGCGACCATGAATGGGTCTTTCATGTCCTGGACCGGGGCAAGGTCAGGCCGGGCCTCTCCCTCCTCCCGCCCAGGGCTCCTGGCTGTCTGAGCCCTGACCTGGAGGACAGCGGCAGGATGGGCCAGGGAGGCCCAGGGAGGGGCAGGGCCTTGCCCGAGGTCACCAGAGCCAGCAGCGCCCTCCCAGCCATGGGATTCTGAGCAAAGACCCGCCCCGCTGAGCCTCAGTTTCCCCGGCCTGGGCGGGCGCGTTGGCAGCGCAGCGCTCCCGTCCTGCTCCGACCGGGTGGATTCCAGTGCGGGTTTTTGCGAGCGCCCGCGGCCACCGACACCTTCTTCCCAGTGCGGCCCAGGCTGCGGCCCCGGGTCCGAGGAGGCCCGGGGAGACCCGGAGGAGGTCAGAAGGCCTTCGGGGCTCCCGGGATGGGGTGAGGCTGAGCTCGGCCCCTTACTGCCGGCGCCTGCGAGGAAGGGAAGCCCCGCCCCAATGCCTGCGCGCCCCCATCAGGACCACTCGCCTCGCCGCCCCGCTGTGTGACTCCCGGGGGTCCCTGGCCCTCTCTGGGCCGGGCTGCAGTCAGGCTCACGGGCAGCCGCTCACAGAGATCGCCTGCGTCCCATCCCTTCCCCAAAGGGCCCCCAGCCTCAGTTTTCCCGGTCAGGTGCAGGCCCTCTTTAACCCCAGATTGGGGGTCCTCGCTGCCAGGTTGCACCCCCGGGTCTCTGCTCAGGCCAGGGAATCCCCTGGGGGCTCCGAAAGGGCAGCTCCGATTGGCTGGGGCCACATGTGACGTCAGAGCCTCCCGACGCCCCCTCCCCTAGAGGCACGTGGGGGCGGTCGCGGCGGGGGAGGGGCCCGGGGTCCGAGCAGATTCGGGGTGTCCCCCCAGCTCAAGCGGGCAGCTGGGCCGCGCAGACGCGATTCTCCTCGGACAGATTTTTCCCTCGTCCCAAATCCCCCTCCGGCCCCCCCCAGAACGGCAGCTGCTCAGGCGGCAGATGCGCCGGCTAAATCCGCCCAGCTGGTCCTCCGCGGAGCTAACCGCCTGGAGCCCCGGGGCTGGGGGAGTGGTGGCCGCATGGTTCTGACCCTTCCTCGCTCCCTGTTCTTTGACCCCTGACTCTTCGTGGAATGGGGCAGGGATTCTGTTGAGGACCCTTTCTCAACCTCCAATTCCCTCCTGGAGCTGCTGAGAGGCTTTGGGGGAGTCTGGCGCCCAGAGAGGGTGGAGTCCTTTCCAAAAACCACACAGCATCCCTGGGCCTGCTGCCCAAAATGTGCCCTGTATTGCGCATATATTAATAATTATAATGATGAGTTAACATATTAGGCCTCTGCTATATGCACCCCCACGATTCTAGGACTATTATGCCATTATTCCATTTTCAAGGGTGGAAACTGAGGCCCAGAGAGCTGTGACTTGACTGATCCCATAGCGAGGAAATGGTGGAGCCAGGATTTGGATCCCAGCTTTTAAGAAGAAGGTGCCGCTGTCCTGGAAGAACTCTCAGGACAACATTAGTGTCTCAGGGATCCCCTAATTGGAGGGGTCTTAAGGCAAGTGAGTGTGACCTGGGCTGAGTGGGGTCTCTTAGACCTCTTCCCTGTCCCCCTGCCTGGTGCCCTGGAGCCTGACATGGACTGCCTCCCCACCTTGTTTCTTCAGCCTAATCATGGTTGTCACTGAAGATCCAGGAGGGCTTCCTGGAGGAGGAGGAAGCTCCATTCTGAAATGCCAAGGGTACAGCTTTATTGGGACAGCCAGTGTCTCTGAGTATGTAGGGTTTGCACAGAGCTTGTACTGCCCCAGGGCCTGTACACTGCCTGTCCCCTCTGCCTGGTGCACTCTTTCCCTAGATGTCCAAATGGCTCCTTTCCTCACCTTCCCCAAATCTCAATTCCAGTGTTTCCCTAGCCTCCCCTCATTTCAGTAATCACTCTGCAGTGATCTAGGATTGCACCACTGCATTCCAGCTTGGGTAACAGAACAAGACCCTGTCTCTAAACTAAATGCATAAATAAAAAATAACAATTCCCCTCCTCATCTCTCTTTACCCTGTTTTGATGGCTTTGCTCAACTTTTCACCAATAAGACTTTCTCTTATGCATTTACTCGTTTCTCTTCCAATCCCTCCCCAAGACACTCAAGTTCCCGGGTCTGTCCAGGACTCCACTGTGTCACGAGGCTTAAAACAGAGCCAAGCACACAGTAGGCACTGAACACATGTGGTGAATGAATGAACGGGAGTCTGAGATTTCAACGGGACTTGCCTTCATTGTATCAAAGGGGAAACTGAGGCCCACTGATCAGAAAGTGAGACCAGAGTCACTTATTTTTCTCTTTAGCAAAACAGGACATAATGGTGGCCACCTCCCCAGTATG